GGGGATTAAACCCAGGAGTACTCTACGCTGCGCTGCATCTCAGCCCTTCTTATTTTTTATTTTTGGGTCTCACTAAGTTGCCCTGGTTGGCCTTGAACTCCCGATCCTCCTGCCTCAGCTCCGAGTAGCTGGGATTACAGGTGTGCACCACTGCACCTGGCTAGAACTTTCCAAGAGTTCGTCTGTGCCAACAATAGATGCATCTTCTCAACTACAGGTGAGCTGATGGGAGGGATCGCCTGCCACTGTCAAGGGCATGTGGCTGGATTTCTTGCATGTAATTGATGATAGGACCGGGTCCTCTCTCGCTTCCTTCAAGAACAGGATTCTATAAGGAAGTTTTTTTGTAAGCAATTTTATTTTCAGTAGTGGGCATTTGGTTGACTGAATGGGTGTGTTCTGCAGAGAGGGAAGGGGACAGGTAGAGAAAGAGGACTCCAGGTCTTCAAGCTTCATCTTGCTGCTCTCCTGGGTACCTGCTGGGCTTCTACTCTGACACGCCCCTTCCTTGCAGTGCCCTGCAGGTGATGTCACCTTGTCCACATCTGCACAAGGTCTCCTGCCCCTCAACTCTTGTTTAAAAAAAAAAAAAAGTGTCTACATATCTGTTCAACTCTTGCTTTGAAACCCTTCCATTGAATATGGAATATGAAAATTAAATTTAAGTTTTAAAAAATAAGAGCTGGACCCAGGTTTGGATGTGTTTATCACTTGTCCCCAAGCCATCATTTGATAACCTAAAAGCCTGTGTCTAAAAGCCACAAGCAGTGGCCGAAGCTTCCATCCGTGAAAGCGGGGGGCCGCGCTTCACTGCAGAAAATAGTCGCTGAATTTCAGCAAAGTCAAGATAGTGGTCAGTGGCAGCCCTGATCTGTTCTGAGAAATGTGTACGAAATGAACGGTTGCCCAGAGAAGCATTTTCAAATGCCTCTGTCCAGGCTGGCTTCACCCTGAGGAGAAAGAAAGATGCCTTAGCAACCTGGAGCTTCGCAGAGGGAACTAATCCTGCCTTGGAAAGGGACAAACGTGGCCAGCTTCTCAGCAGGAGTGACCACTTTCTCTTCTCTCCCTTCCCTTCCTTCTCCTGCCTGTCCTTTCACTTTGGAAACCCTTTGTTCCAAAATGCATCTGTAGCTGTTTATTTTGCTTGTGTTTGATTTTATGGGCTGTGGAGCTCCTGAAATTAAATTAATTTTAAATGGGTTTTAATTACTAATGCTTTGGGCCATTGCCTTTAGCAAAGTCAACATCACAATCAGGGTTACCTTAGTTTGTCTCCTTGAGGAATGTACTCACTCGCTGGGCCTCACAGTAAACAGAGAGGCTTTCTAACTAGAAAAACAAACAGAATAAAACCACTGCTCTATTTGAATGCCTGGATTTATTGCACTTTCAAAAACAGCCACTCTTGGTTTGGTGAACAGGACTCTAAGTGTGCACAAAAAGATAATTGTTTGTCAATAGTATCTCCTCATTTTTCCAAGGTGCAGAGGGCCTGCGTGGTGATGTGCTATGCAAATGTGGGGGCGGAGGTGGAACCCCATCCCCAGGTCCCAGGCAGCACAAAGTGCTCTGTGTGTAACGTCAGAGAAATGAGCTTGGTTCTCAGTACAGTGTCCCCGCGTGTGTGTCGATTAAGGGTAATCAACTCCAGGTCACGGGTCACCTTCAGATGGCTTTTGAGTTTCTACCTACAGAAGCTGGAGGTGAAAGCCGAGCCTCTGCGGGGTGGCCACGCCCCTCCCCCAGGAGGGAGGCCACTCACCTTGTCCCCAGTGGAATGTTCTGCTTGGCAGGGGCCATCACTTGAGTGGTTCCCTAACAATAAGCTTAGATTGGCTGCAGATAAAACGAGGAAGGTTGATTAAGTCATTTAGTCCCTTGACAATTTTGCAAGCCAGGCGGTTCTGATAAGCGTTGGTTTTAAACTGTGCGATACACATGCCAGCTATATCACCAAAATTCTGGTTTCCATATATTTCAGG